TCACTTTTTGAGTAAAAATATGTAAGAGTATTGAGTAAAATGTTTGGCTATTTAACCCACCTGTGCATTTTAAAGTAATCAATATTTTTACTTTGTTTTAGTTAATTTTTTTTTAGTAAAATGTACCAGATTTACCTTTTTATGTACATTTTGGTAAATAAAAAGTTAACAAGCAAGCCACGAGTTAGATAAACGGTGGCAAAAAACAAACATAGACTTTATATAACTCACGTGCTCCCCCTATATAGTGTGATAGGCGTCTGTTTATTAATATAATAATCACCCTAATATGTATCACCTGGTTTTGGATGACTTGTTAAGTCTTAATGACGGTGGATGGCGGCTGTGAAGTAAGTTTTCAGTTGGATATTCCTGCTCCGCGCATTGGACAGATTTAGATCACTACAGGTGTTACAACAATATCTGTCATCATACATTGTGACCCAAGCGCGCGATGTGACCTGTTTATATTCTACTAGTCCCTAAATTCGCAGGATTCACACCTATATCTAATATCACAAAATTAATATCTAAACCTAAGATCTTAAGACATATACCTAAACCTAAAGAGGTATATGGTAAGACACATGTGAAGCCGCTGTTGGTCACAATATATAATGGGTTACAGAATATAGTGTAACACCGGTCCAAACAGTTAGCGAACTTCGTACCTCGCAGAGCGCAAACATCTAACCTAAAACTAACTTCCTCACATTGCAAGACCAAGGGTTAAACTTAATGTTTATTACAATGTATTGTTCAAAATAAAAAGTACTTAGAGATAATATGGTAAATGGCGACGTATATTATCTCATCTGTGTGGCGGTGGAAACTGTACACATCCTTCGATAGCTCAGTTGGTAGAGCGGAGGACTGTAGTGGATACATAGACATCCTTAGGTCGCTGGTTCGAATCCGGCTCGAAGGACATGTGTTTTTTTTTCTTCTTCCGAGTTTCCCTAATTAATGTCTTTTTCACAGTAGTCCTTCAATACTGAATTTACGGTAATTGAAATTATTTGAACTGGCACCAACGGCAAGAAAAGGTTGTATTATACATTTCTCGTGTTTTTTCGGGGTATGGTATCTATATTTTTTAAGAAATATAATCTCATTGTTATTTTAAGATATGATTCTATAATCATTATAACAAAATGTAACTCCGTAAAAATTCAAAAAATATCTAGGGGTCGGTCGTTTCTAGGGGTCGTTAACGACCGAGCCCTAGAATCATAGACAGTTTCAGATATTACAGGCTAACGATGGAACTAACGACCCATTCATCGGTTTCCATTGCATGTTTCCAAGCGATACAAAGCGTTGTCTATATAAGACTCAAACTCACTGCGGATCCAGACATTTGAATTGAGAAAGCTTCCTGGAGAGGTGGCGAAACGTCTTCAAATCTTGAAAACCAAGTCCAGTGGATATTTTTTGAATTTTTACGGAATGACTATGACCTGGATGACTGAGAACCTTCATCAACAAAATGTAACGTATTAATATAGAATTTTCAGACGATAAACCCAGAGGAAGCAGTTTATGGGAAAGTCTTTCATTCAGCAGAGATATTATACTCAGGTAAAAATATGCTAGTTGAAAGTCTTGTCCTAGACAAATGTAAAAAATGTTGAAAAGGGAACATAAGTAAGAAAGGCGTTTGGAAAATTCCTTTTTCTTGACAAATTTTGCAGCTTTGCCTGATGATATTGCAAAGGGCCAGCTTCTAATGCTGTTATGGAGACCCTAAGCAATTCTATTATCATTATTCCAAATTTCCCGTTTGGTTACGAAGCATTTACTTAAAAATTATTTAGGTTGTTTTTATAACATTGAAAACGTTTAACATCTGACTTTTGAACATATCTTTGTGATAATTCTTGAGGGGGGAAACAATTTATTAATTCAGATATTTGATATGAAGCAATGCTTTTCTAACAACTATTGTTAAAACTCATATTCATGTTTTCATATAGTCCCCTTAAGATTTAACCAACTAGCTTTTGGTATTAGGATGTTTGCAAACAATTTTTGCTTCCTTCTCGTACCAGTTCTAAGCTACTTGGTTTTCTGTTTCTGTTTGTTTTTTCTGCTCACAACCTGCAGGGGGCAGTATTGGATTTAAATCTGAGCAGGCTGGTCTTAATAACTTCAGCTGATTAAGGTTTTGGGCCTTTTGATTTGAATGCATGTATATGTCCTCCCACATTAAAAAAACACAAGGTTTAAGTCAAATTAATCTTTCTTTTGATCTAAATTTAACAATAGCCACATCAATCATTATGTCAAAAGCCTTAGAATTGAACAATACAGAATTTATTCAGAAAAATGTAGAAGTATCCAACTTAAATTTGAGTGCATATATAGTTAAAGCATTCAAGAGTGAGAAATAATAAATCAAACTAAATCCCTGGCATGTGATTGGTGGTACCTGTAACACATGGCTGAATGAGTGGTGCAGCACTTTAAGCCTACATGGGGTCAGGAACCTCTTCTCATTTTCTGGCTGAAAGTATCTGAACAAATACTACTGTGTTGGCTCCAGTCAACCTGGAAAATGTAAAGAAAACAGTCTTTGAAATCTCAGGCTTTACTGGAGGTTGAGGATGGGGGCAGATTTAGAGGCTCACCCAAGAACCCCCACCGTTTAGGCAATGAGCCTCTGCTGAATTATCTCTGTAAAGTGCCTTAAGATGACATGTGCTGTGAATTGTTACTATAGAAATAAACTGTATTAAATTCAAATGAAATATGCGCTAACAAACAAGACTGTTACTGCTTTGTCCCTTAGACCAGTTTAATATTTAATATCTTTTCAATTTATTTGAAAAAATATTTAGAATTCAAAGAAATGTATGGTTTGTCACTCAATAAACTAAAAGAAATGCTTTTGCTCATTTCTTTTTTTGTGTGTGTGTGTGTGTTACTCTTTTTTTTGCCTATATAAAAAAAAACCTGCCCCACCCTGCTAAATATAATGTAATACCTCCACTGTTTTCACCATTCTGAATAAATGTACACATGTTTTATATATTCCATTATGAATAAGCTTCTTTACCACCTTTATTATTTTAGTGACATTTTTATTAATAATTTACTGTTCAAATCAGCCTCCTGATAAATATGCATCCATAAAGTAAGTCACCAACAAAGCATGAAGATTATAATGTATTGTACGTACAAGAAAGAGGGTCTTATTTTCATCAGCTTTCCTGATTATTGCTAAAAGATATTGCCATAACAATAAAACAAGACACTCAGTGACTGCAGAAATAATGAAACTTACAGCAATTTTATTTATACACCAAGAAAATTTGATAAAGATTTGAACTAGAGATAATAGAACCTAAATAATTTGTAAAATTACATTTAAAGTTCCGGTGTATAAATATCCTACCAGCGAATAACTACACACAATATATCATATTTAATCAGAGGAAGATTACTGGTACATCATTAAAGGGATATCGTGTAAGAATTACTGCCGTCTAGTGGTGAAATTGGGGTATTTCACTCAAACGAACACTATGCCCTAGCACGCCACTGCCTCAAACACGCATTGCAGCAACAGTAGCTGCTGTGAATCAAAAAGCCTCGACAGCTGAGATGTAAATATGTCTTCTGAAGTGAAGTCTCTACAAGCTGACAAACTGTGACATAAATCCAGCGTTCACTGCAGATTTGAAAGCTATTGTAACAGGTGGCTCCAGTAGGTGCTGCACCCTCTGTAGCCTGAGCCAGGAGTGCACCTCCTGTGTCTGGGACCAGGGGTGTGGTGGATCCATGCTGCCGGCTGGCTGGGGGCCGCATTATTGGTGTTCCGCTGGTAGCATTACCTGGGCGTTTGGTTGTCCAACGCTGCAGGGTTGCGTTTTTTTTGTTAGTCCGCTCAGGTTGGTATTTGCATTTAATTTATATAGAATAAAGATTGGGAAAATTACTTATGTTTTGGTTATTCTTTCCCTTTCAGCCACAGCAACCATAAGGCGTTCCTACAAATAAAAATTAAAAACAATCCACTGGACTTTGTCTCCAAGTTTGAAGACATTTCGCTTCCCATCCAAGAAGCTTTTTTAATTCAAAATCTCAGGAATAGTTTTAAGTTCGAGGTTATATACAGTGGGGGTCATTTGGCTTCCATTTGACCCCCATTCCAAAGGGATGGACTCTTTCATCCATTTCAATTTGCCTGTTTTCAACTGTTGGGCAACTGTATAAAACCTCAAACTCAACGCTATTCCTGAAATTTTGAATTGAAAAAGCTTCCTGGATCGATAGCCAAACGTCTTCAAACCTGGAAAGTAAGTCCAGTCAGTGGATTGTTTTTTATTTTCCTTTTTTGGAATGACTGAGAATCTTACCAGCATGCAACCATAAGTCGGTGTCATGAAGCATTAAACTCACATTTAACCCATAGAAACCCCAAGTTAGACCTGTAACATTTAGCTTTGCTGGTAGGCTTTGTGAACCTACAATTCTATACAAGCAATGTATGTTTGCAGGATCTACTGTTATGCTTTCTATGGTAGGCAGGATGGATGATGATGGATAGATCGTCATCCATCCATCCCTCATGATCCATAAAGCAGTACAGGTCACAGTCGTTTTAAATGTCTTATTCTTTTCCACTTTCTTGGGGATTTTTTTGTGCTGCTGCGCATGCATGGTCCTGCATTGTGCTACAGTCCTTCAGAAGTTGTTGGGTTAGCATCTCCAGATTATCTTCACTATCGCCTCTTAGCTACATGCTGTTATTCCGTGCGTTACTGCTACTTTGTCCGTCGCCAGCGTATTTAGATTCAAGATGACAAACTGTCATGGCGCTTTGCAAACAGATGATCAGCCTTATGTATAAACTAACTAAAATTGTTGGCTTTTGAAAATGCATCTGATTATTAGTGCAGGTCATCGATTTCAGGCGGTAAAAAAGAGAAATTGTTACACAATGTCCCTTTAAAAGATGAAAAAGTAAAGAAGCTATAAAAACTGCATTAGCATCAGTAGGCGTGAGGAATACAGGTTTTATTTCTGTATGGTAGGGAAAAATATAAAGATGTTCAACAGATGATCATTTCCAAGAGAAATTAGCCAACGGTAATGTGTGTTGCAGAGTTAGGAACATATCTGACTGTCAAATGAGGAACTTTACAGGGTTTTACCAATAATTCATCCTCATTATGCTCCTTGGTTATCATTCCAGGTAACTTGATTTTAGGGCCCGTTTCACTCATGACGGAAACGCTTCCTGGGTGATGCTGGGGTGTCCAAGGAAAAGGCGGTGGGAGAACAGGGTCGAGACTCTGGGACATATTCTCTCTGATACTTGTCAATGTAAGGCTTGGCCACGTTCCACACCTTAGGATGCAAATACCCAATAAAATTAAATAAAATTTAAAATTTCAAGTTTTATTTCTCTCCTGTAAAATGCAGTGAGGTTTATTTGACTTCAAAATTACAAATGTTTAGAAATAAAATAATTTAGAACTTGCCTTCTGGTCAACTAGGAGACGGTGAACGGCTTCGATGTCTGGAGACATGAACCGGTCTTTAATCCAGGGCCTGTTAACAGTACAAGTAGAACATTAGAAAAAAAAAGCTACTAACTACCTTGGTTTTTGTTGTTGAGGACTGTAAGCTGCCTCACCTGACAACCGAACGCACCAGGTCATAGACCTTTTCCAGGGGGGTGGTGGTACGGAGCGGACGGAGGAATTCGATACCCTGACAGGCGGCCAGCAGCTCTATGGCAAGCACTGATCACAACAAACATCCATTCAGCTCGCTAAAATTAAGGACATCTTATAAATAAAAAATATAAATAAATAAAGAACAAGAGGGACAAGGGGCAGCACCCCCCTCCTTTGACATCTTGTGCAAAACATTACCTATTGTCTCTCATGAGCAATTCAATTCAGTTTATTTCTATAGCGCCAATTCACAAGACATGTCATCTCATGGCACTTCACAGCTCACCAGATCATCCATTCAAATTGAGTCAAAGTTTTCTATCTAAGGAAAACCAGTTGATTGCATCGACCCAAAGGCAATCCCTCACACTAAGCATGCTTGTAGCGACAGTGGAGAGGAAAAATCCCTTTTAACGGGAAGAAACCTCCAGTTGAACCAGGCCATATTCTTCTCACTGTGCAATAACACATGCAAGTACTGTGTGATTTTTTTAAACCTATTTATAAGTTCAGTGCATCTCTGCAGCGCATGTGCAATAACCCAAGTCAACTACTGCGTAATCTACCCTTAGCTCTCTATTGTGCAGATATTGTTATATCTACGGCAAACATATTCAGGGACATTTCAACTTTTTTCTTTTATTATTTTTTTTTGTATTATATACACTCTTTTTATACTGTCTTTCATATTTTTATCTTTAACGGCATGTTGCTTTAACTCTTTGAACTCTATATAAGCTACTGGAACCAGAAGGAATAATCCCAAGAGATAAATAAAGTTGAGTCTAGTCTAGGTCTATCTTTCCCTGCTTATGGTTTATCTGGTGAAAATGATAGAAATCAAGCAGCATCTGATGCACGTTCAGTCATTAAAAATAATACAACTTAATCCCTGGACATCAGACTCATCTATATTTTCTTCCCAAAGGGTAGACTTGCCTCGAACCTTTTTAAATATTCTTTGTTGATAATTTATTTTGGCTTTCTGAAGGCCTTTCAAAGTTGTTATTTGTGTCTGGCTTTCAATTTTACATGCATGATCAGGATAAAAAAAAAGTACTTTAAAATATCCAGTCCAGCTGATAAATTAAATAATAGAGTCAGCTCTCTCAAGCATCCCATCCCATTGACAGGATGCTTCATCACCTACTCTGTGATACAGTATGATTTTTTTTTTTAATAAATAGGCCTTTTTGAATTACTGCTATTGGTTGTTAAATATATCTCTTTCTTCTAAGAAAACATTTTCCTATGTATTTAATTACCCTAGTTTTAGTTGAAAAAAACAAGTCGGGCTACATGAAAACCACCATAACAGAAAATGAGTGAAAAAGCAGCCATAAAATATTAAAGATCTTAAAGATCTTAATATTAAAGATATGAAACTAGAATATAGAGATTTTTTTTAATGCTTTAAAGCTCATTAACAGCAGCATTAAAACAGCAGAAGTAGAGAATGTGATTGGATTATTTCCAGGTCTGGCAGGGTGTCGTAAATATCTGTATTTCCAGACTTTACATCCTCTCTTATTTTTCTAAATAGCTCCATCCATCCATTATCCATCCATTAATCCATGCATCCATTATCCATCCATTAATCCATGCATCCGTTAACCATCCATTAATCCATGCATCCATCCTTCCATTAATCCATGCATCCATCCATCCATTATTCCATCCATCCATCCATTAATCCATGCATCCGTTAACAATCCATTAATCCATGCATACATCCATCCATGCATCCATCCTTCCATTAATCCATGCATCCATCCATCCATTATTACATCCATCCATCCATCCATTAACCATCCATTAATCCATGCATCCATTAACCATCCATTAATCCATGCATACATCCATCCATGCATCCATCCTTCCATTAATCCATGCATCCATCCATCCATTATTCCATCCATCCATTAACCATCCATTAATCCATCCATTCAATATTCCATGCATCCATCCATCCATTAATCCATGCATCCATCCATCCCTCCATTAATCCATGCATCCATTCATCCATCCCTCCATTAATCCATGCATCCATTCATCCATCCATCCATTAATCCATGCATCCATCCATCCATCCATCCATCCATCCATCCATCCATCCATTAATCCATGCATCCATCCATCCATCCATTAATCCATGCATCCATTCATCCATCCTTCCATTTATCCATGCATCCATCCATCCATCCATCCATTAATCCATGCATCCATTAATCCATCCTTCCATTTATCCATGCATCCATCCATCCATCTATCCATTAATCCATGCATCCATTCATCCATCTATCCATCCATGCATCCATCCATCCATTAATCCATGCATCCATTCATCCATCTATCCATCCATGCATCCATCCATCCATCCATCCATCCATCCATTATCCATCCATTAATCCATGCATCCATCCATCCATCCATCCACCCATCCATCCATCCATTAATCCACACATCCATCCATCCATCCATCCATCCATCCATCCATCCATCACCTTGCTCCACGTGCTCCACCACCCTCAGAGCTTTCCGAGCGGCCCAGCCTCCCATGGAAACATGGTCTTCTGTAGCTGCACTTGTGGACAAGGAGTCCACAGACGAAGGATGGCATAAGACTTTGTTTTCTGAAACTAACAGAAATCGAGATTTAGTCAAATTTGATAAAAAAGCAAGAAACCCAGAAGGGCCTGAAAATGTAGAGAAATATAAAGACTCTCAGGTAACTACTTCATTAGCTAAAACTACTAATCTAACCTAAAGAAGCAGCAGTGCAGTGAGCAATCATGAACCCTGAGTTGAGGCCCCCCTCGTTCACAAGGAAGGCAGGCAGCTCACTCAGGGAGGGGTTACATAACCTCTCGATCCTCCTTTCACTGATGGAAGCCAGCTCATGGACAGCGATGCATAGAAAGTCTAGAGCCTTTATGAGAAAATAGGGCATTAGGAATAAATCAAATCCACCAAGATCATAAAAATCCTTATTACCCACAAACCTTTGCTGGATATTCTCCATGGAAGTTCCCACCTGAAATGGTTTCACCTCGTTCTGCAAATACCATCTTGTATGGCCGTTAAGGTAAAACCAAAAGGATGAAAATGTAATAAGTCGTTTAAAAAAAGGTTTCAGATTGACAGAACAGTGTGAAAGCTTTGTTTAGTCGACAGTGAAGGATACAGGGTTGTCCGTTGCGCTGTTGATTTCTGTGTTGATGATGTTCTGCACAAACTTTATGGTGTCATTTGCGATTCCATGGACCTGAACACGGTGGAAAAGATTACAGTGCAGCCTTCTAAACTCTGACTGTTTGACTGTATTAGCAGCATGTGGGGATTGTTATCACAGTTTGGATGGTTTGCTTTTCATTGAAGCAGTTTAGGGGGAGAGTAGAGGGGGTAACGGCTGCCTTCTGCTGTTCATCAGAGGTACTGCTACATGTGCAGTTCAATAAATTGCAGTTATTTCAGTAATTTTATTTTACAAAGATTCCTCACAGTTATATTATTCAAGTGTTTATTTTATGTGCAGCTTAAAGCTTGTGAAAACTCAAAAGTTTTGCTTCTCAGCTATGTTGAATCTTTCCTGAGACAGAAATTTTGATAATCTTTATTCACTCAGTATGAGTCATGGGTCCTATGACATGAACGAGGGAATCTATGGAGCATAGTGTGGAGGTGGGGCATAAATGAAGCCCTGACTCCTTTTAATAGCGGTCTTTAGATCATCAGTACTGTTGGTTCTGATCCTTTGTTCTTCTTTTTGACTTGGATCTCTAATGGGTTTGGGAAAGGCCAGTTTACTGGCCAACACAGTGCAATGATACCACAGTCTTTAAACCAGGTACTGTAATGCTTAGAGGGCAAGGTCATATAGAATGAAAGCATCAAAAGGGAAGCTTAAGGGTATTTTAAAGTTCTCCAATGGCAGCTGCTCTGATGTTGGACTGGATAAAAGACAGTGGACCATCACCAGCAGATGACTTCCCTAGTTACCGGAAACTTCACACCAGACCTCAACAAACTTGGATTCTGATCCTCTCCACTCTTCCTCTAGACCAGAGGTCATGGATTAGTTGACCGTGGTCAAAATTGACCCACCTGCTGGTTAATCTGGACCCAACCTGATTTAAAACATTTATAAATTACTGCCTGTTGTCTAACTTCACTTGTGCCGCTTCTCCTGTTAATAAGGTAAAGACCATCGGAGCGTCCGGCACCAGGCTACTCGTGATACAAATCAGCCAATGAGCTGCTGTCAGTCAGGGCTGCTGCTGTGAGCCACTTTTAGACACAGCAGGCAAACCTGTGGCAAGCCGGGCGATGGGAAAGAAGGAGAAGACAATGAGAAAAACCGAACTGGTGAAAGAAAAGTGAAATGGCGTGCTCAAAGATGATTTCTGCACATTTAGAGGATGTTTGGCTCAACCTGCTGCTGTGAAGCAGGATTCTCCTCCATGAACAGAATCAAAAATAAATCTGGATTCAGGCTCAAAATGAGCACCTTGATATGTACTTGAGAATGGCTTAGTCTCCATTCAAACCCAGGTTTAAAGCCTTGCAGGGCAGCCTAAAGCCCACTTCTCTCATTAAGCCATAGAAAAATAAAATAAAAAAAAACAATAAAAAAACGGCCAGTTCAGGTGTTTTTAAAAATATGTGAATCAGAAAACTGTCTATATACCGAACTGAACGATTGTTGCTCTCTACTTCAAAAAACACTTTAGATTTTAAAATGGAAAAAAAAAAAATCAATTTTTTTATTTAAAAATTCAATGTATAGCATGGATGCATAAACACCTAATTTTATTTCAGTGTTACATTCTGTTTAAAGTAACAGATTATAATTAAAAATATCTCCAGACCTTTACTGATTGATGGTTTTCTTTATTCGGACCCCGCTGGTTTTTAATTGGTTACCCCAGGTGTAGAGTCTGTAACCTTGCCTTCTAAATTAAATTAAAAAAATATCACTATCATCTTAAAAGAGGACTTTGCAACAGTTCACTTCTTTTCCTGTTTAGTACCAGAAAGACGCATCTGATATTTTCTCTGGTTCAGGACTTAAAACTTCAGACTCTGACTTAGACAGACAAACTTCAGACTTAGACATAAAGTTGAGTCTAAGTGTAAAACTTAATGCTAATTCTGCTTTCCTCCGTCTCAGTATTCCATGTTGCTTATGCGCCTTCTTCATTCACAGTTTTTCCTTCCACTAAACTTTCCGATGAGATGCGTGGAAACATCTCTTTGTGATCAGCCAGTGTCTTTAGTGAAGTCCTTATGTCATTTTCCATCCTTTGGGAGAGCTCCAATGATTGTTGAACCTTTATCAGGTCAGTGGTCTTCCCCATAATCACATAGACCACAATAGTAATAGAACGTAGCATTTCTGTCCTTAATAATGCTTTTTTTATTTGTCATATGAGATATTGTTTTTTTCTGAGAAACAGAATGTTGAATTTTGTAATCATTTGTAAGTCAAGAAACTTAAAGGTATACTATGCAAACGCTTTTCCAGCGAGGCTCCCCCCAGAGGGCGAAAGTAAAAGTGCACTGTCGTAAATATGCTTCTCCGTCAAGCCAGGCGCGGTTGTTTTGAGCTTAGCAGACAGGCGAACGCAAAGAATCACCATGTCTACTGGGGTAAGTGACTATTTTTTTTCAAATTTTCGAGTTTGAAAATTCTCGCCGGTTCCGCCATGATAACTGCACAAATATCACCACTGCGCTAGCAATGAGCATGCCTTTCACTGGCGGCGTGTAGCAGTTCTCGGCGTAAAGCAAGACCGACTCTCGCGATGCACGAGACTTCTGAGCCTGTGGGTGCGGGCCGAGGGCTCCTGCAATTGCAAGTACTGTATTTCCCCTACAGACCACCAGGGCGGCCGAGAAAACCTTTGTTCAACCTGAAATGACTCATTTAATCATCCAAAACGTTATGGAACACATTAATTAACTGGAAAATGTTGCATAGTATGCCTTTAACAAAAAAATATTATGTATCACTCTGTGTGTAATTAATCCAAATGGTTTAATAATTAGAAATACTGACGTTTTTGTGTTTTTCTACACATGTAGTAAACAATCTGGGATAATAACTGACTCTAAATGTTTTAGATAATTTCACTACAAATTAACTAGAAAAGATTTAACTATCTTATGGAGACCCTGAGCTGCTTAACCTCAACGGTTTAATTATCTGATTAATCACAGCCAGATTTGACCAGAAGGTACCTGAGGACAGCAGCGCATGGTGTAGGCGTCCTGGACTCTGTCACAGAACCTGTGGCTCTCTGAAAATACACGTTCACATCACACACATGAATCAGACACCTAAAGGGCATAGGGGAGACCTAATATAATAAGAAAACACGGTTGTACCAAATCCACATGGGAAAGAAACAAGGTTTGATCGTTCTAATCAAAGATCTGAGACTGAAGTATGGTTTGATTGCTAGAGGTGATAAAAATAGCATTCCTATCTCCCCACACCTGATTATTGGTGGTATATTTAATGTGGGTCACTATAAGAAATGGGTGTCATTGCATTAATCCTGCTTTAGAGTATGGGTTTGTTTGCTGACCTGCAATCTCAGATGGATGGTGATCAGAGTCCAGCAGCGAGCGAAAGCGTAGCGCGACCTCCGTCTGTCCTGGGTGGGGTCGCAGGGAATGGATGTCTATTGGAGGACAGCAGTGTATAAGCATTTATTGTTGGTGGTGACATACATGTGAGCATGTACAGCTTTTATGCGGATTTATTCACATCTGCCGCTCCTCACCGCTGTCAAAGGCCTTAGTGGTTCCCTTCAGCACCTCCAGAGTAAGAGCGGCGACGATGTCCGCCTGCTGGGCGATGGCCTGGGCGCGCTCCACAGCCTCGGCCCCTAAAGAGGTGATCATCTGGGTACCGTTGATCAGAGCAAGGCCCTGGGGGTATGAGGGAAAGAGGAACAGGTGCCTATTTTGGTTTGTCAGCCTACAAATTAGAAAACAGTAGTTAAAATGGGGAGATGTTCTGTTCTGGTCCGAAAATGATCGACACTTGTAATCGGCAAGAATGTGACAGATTTGGGATTCCCAATTAATTCTTTAAACCGGAAATAAACTGGAATAAACTCAGGAATAATGATAAATACAGTTTAAGTAATTTTCAAAAACAAGATTTACGTACATATGTTATGTTCAATTTATGGAGAGGCTCGCATACACCTGTACTTCACTGCTTAATCTCTAAGCAAGGTACGGGTTTATAAAACTCATCAATTTTTTTTATTTTATTCATTCACTTTTGTAAAGTTTACTCCATCTTAAACATTAAGTAATTTCCTCCTGCTTTAGATGTGAAGAACGTGTCAAATATACATTTATTAAGAAAAAAACTATCCATTAATTGTGGCAGCAGCAAGTACCTTGATCCCTTTATCTCATATAAACAAATACTATACCACGTGTATAGTTTTAAGCGTTACCTCTTTGGGTTTCAGAGATATTGGCTTTAGTCCGTGGGCCTCCAGGACCTGACCAGGAGTAAAAGAAGAAAGAACGTGAGCAAAGTCAGGGGTAATCAAAAAGCAAACATGTTTTCCCATTGAACCTCGCAGCCTTTCGCTTTTCCAAGAACGAGGCTCATTTCCTTCAGGTATTACAAAGTCGATGTTTTGAAACTATGGAAAGGTGACTGTACATATTTGGCATCTGCCCATCCGCTCTTGGGGGACCACATTTTCCCCTCCCCCATCAGTCCCAATGCGAGGTGTGAGAGGGGGGCCAAGTCTCCACTTGCTCCAACAGTTCCCTTCTCTGGAACGAAGGACAGGCAGGAAGCTGGGAGGGCAGAATAAGCGGGAGACGAGGGTTAGTCATGTGACAGTCGGCTTTGCAACACTGAACCTTTTAAAGAGGTTATCAGCATAGATTGAGACACCGATAAAACATATCAGCTTGGGTAAACGGTGCTGGCGGATCTAGCTGCAGGTTACCATTGAAGGCTTGGATCATGGCTTGAAGGGTTTCCAGAGAAATCCCGCTGTAGCCTTTAGCTAAAACATTGATCCGCAGAGCGAGCAGCATGCGGGTCCTCTCAGGGCTCAGCGGGTTCCCCAGCCCTATAAATCACAGCAAATCTCTGAAGCCTTTTCAAATACATCAGCGTCTGAGATACAAAATGCTCATAAAATGTCACTCTCAGGGTGAGCTATAGAGACTGTTCAATCACCTGCCGAGTGGGACCGCACCAAGTTTTCCTGGAGCTCCCTGTGGAACAGAAAGTGTGCGTTACATCAAAATCAAAGGAGGCGGATTCTACCGCAGTGATCAGAGATTAGAGCGTAAATGTTGCCTTTACTTGAGCTTGCTGACAGGGATGACGGTTCGGGCAAATTTGCCAAAACCTGTCGTAATTCCATAAACGACTGTGGGAGCAACAGATTCAGAGAAATAAATTCAGTTATCAGGATTCTGTAGTAGCCGAGTGACATAACAGCGTCCGCAGTGAATTAAGTCTTAAATGTGGGTTTTTAACCTTTGTTTTCTTTGACAATGGTGTCCAAAAGTTCTCGTGATTGCACAACTTTTCTCTCTGCCTCTTCAGTCAGCTGAAAACAAGTTTGGTGGAGGGAGGGAGGGAGGGACTACATTAAGTCAAAGATTACCACAGGCAGAAAAACAGAGAGTGTTTGATCATTACCTTTATCTTGTAGAGTCCTCGGCCTAAATTGACCAGATCTGTGGAGGTCAGGCTGTTGCCATCCAAACTAATGTACTGTACAGGTGAAATATGTGTCACAAGAAACTAATTTGAGAACATTTCTAAGACTTTTAACAAAAAAATAAAGAAAATCAGACTTACTTCTGCAGGTTCTTTATATGCTGCTGTGCTGTTTTGTAGTCTGATTAAGGATAAATGTCCAAAAGTATCTTTGGATTCTCAGAAGTCAACATGTTGTTAATAATTTTATTCAATTTGTTACCTATTTCTGTTTTGAGTGAACAAATATACTCAGCAGGTTTAACCCTTTAAAGCCCGATCCAAGAATAAAACAAAACAGAAAAATGACTTTTTTTGGTTTGAATTCCTTATTTTCCCTTTTAACAAAATATTTAAAAAGAAAAAACAGAAATACATTTTTTAATAATTTATTAATATGCGATAAGTCAAGATAATTTTTTTGTGTAGTCTTTTTTGTGTAGTCTTCTGTTATCAGGTATAGCCTATCTGATTGTGTACAATAGGATTTTGAGCAAAGTTTTTACCATTAAATTATGCAAAAGGTGTCAGATGCAAAACATTTCAGAAACCGTATGTATCAAATATGATACATTTGGCATTATAGGGTTAAGGATACATATTAGAAACTCCAGGCTCACAGGGAATAAAGTCTGAAGACATAGTGTCTCCTTCAATAGCTGGAAGATATTTAGAAAAAAATAAATACTCTTAAATTACTCAATTGATGACCTTATGTACTGATTGTTAACTTTAATTCATCACTAAACCTCTGTGTGTTCATTACCAAGCTCAACAAAGTCATTATCCTCCAGCACATCATCGATGGTGTCCTCTGCGTCCAACAAACCCAAACCTTGGCACCTGCGCACAAAGAAGCGCGTCTCTTTCACAGACCCGATGCCACCGTTGTCCGGCTTGTTCTTCATGTACCGTTTCAGGGCTTCCTGTCCGAGCCACTGGATGGTGTTGGAGGTGTCCCGGCAGGACACCGCCAGCCATTCATCTCGGATGTGGACGGTGAATCGAGGCATCGCGCGTCAGCGAGGCTGGTCGGCAGTGAGCGCCGCGCTCTGCGCTCCGGGGTTCCATCTCCAGCTGCGCGCCCCGCGGACACCAATCAGAGGAGGCTGAGGCGGACACGCCTCGCTGGAGTCACACTTTTTTTTTTTTTTTTCCCGGAGACCAGTGACCTCAGGTCGTTCACACAGATGTAGTTATGTGATCTGAGTCCAAATCACGAAATAACAAGGCGAGGACAGAGGCCTTACATGTGGAGCTGCTGGAAATGATTCACACTGGCTTTGCTGATTATGGAAAGTAAAATAGATAAAAGCTGCTTTTAAATGATGCATCTGTGTCTGGCTACATTTCTTTACACATTTCTCTGTTATGACGTGTGATGATATTTGAATGTCGCAAACTTTGCAGTGATTACTTATTGCACCACTAAGGCCCTTTTGTTTCTAATAAAATACAGGAAGTGTCCCTTAAAATTTTACACAGGTGTATCCTGTTAATTCAGTACTGAACTAATATATTCCAAATATTGATCCACTTTGTTCCTTCTGTCACATCGAACAAGAAACATTAACCCACCTTTTTTGGGAATGCTCTTTTAGCAAAGTTTTTTGGTGTGACTTCAATAATTTTGTTAATGGGAAATGCAATATACTTATTGCGCTGAATGTTAAATATGTTCTGTTTGGTATTTCCAAGGGCAGCATGTCTGGGAAAGAATATATAAATTTTCTTATTCTATTAGCCAAGTTCCACATACATGTTTGTAAATTTGCTAAAAACAAACCCAACTTTTAGAGCTTATATAAGTTGTTTTTTGGACTCCTTAAAATATGCACCAATTCTAAAGCTATGAAACTTATAAGCCTAAGTGGTGAACTTAATTTGTAATCTTTTTTTTTCCTGTTTCATAGAATCCTGTAGTTCTGTTACCCCAGTACCTCCAGCATACTACTGTCTGCAATTGTATATTCTTTGTTTGTAAATAAAGTTTGTTAAAAAAAAACAACAACAAAAAACACTAAGGCCTTTATAGGGCATACCCCTTACAAATAGAGTCCCCCCATCATTCAGTGAGCTCTAGAAGCACAAGATCTATATCCAGCCATTCAGTAAAGATGCTTCTACATGGCTGTACATCTTATTTTGACATTTGACTAATTAGATGAGCCCTTGAATGATAAATTACCTACTGGAAATTGAGTTGGGGAAAAAATTTACAAGAAAAAAAATTAATTGAAAAGATAAAAAGCTAAAGTTAAAAAGTAAATAGGCCTAGTTAACAATTATATTTAGCTTTATAAACAAAAAAATGTGTCAGTATCAGCATTAATGCCTCTTTGGTTATGTTGTACCAAACAAAAAAAATATGTTTCATTTACTCTCAGAGTTTTATTCATGAATTCCTTACAGAAGCACTTTTTTAAATTTCTCTTAATATATTTAAGCAAATTGGTATTTCTTGTTATAACATGGATTTTTGCATTTTTGTTACAGAGGTAATAAGGTCTTGTCCTGGATTCCAATAACACTATTGGCTTGAAATTTTGATTTTCAAAGTGTTTCACTGAGTGACCTAAATTGTGCTTTAAATTATCCTTTATGTGTGTGTAATATGTTGAAGCGTCTAATGACAACAGCTCCCGGATTATAATGTAAATATGATGGCTTCAACATCACATTTGGCTCCAGACATGTTTTACTGAACCTTTAAAACATTTGTATTATTTGGAATATCTTTAACATAAAAAGCTAAGATTATAGATAATACAGCATTGATAACATGTTTTTAATCCTAACTGATTTATTTTAGACCGCCTTTCTCCCAGAATAAACAGAGAAGCTTCTTCCAAACAAATATTTATTTAAAAGTCAGACACTGATCACTGCAATCCAGTCTGTGCCGTTGTTTGTGTCTATAATCATTGTGTCACTGGTGACTGTGTTGCATGTTATCCCTTGATACCTCTAAGGTAGGGACGCTTCATGTAATATGCGCTGGAAAAAAAAAGAAACAAATATTTTTTTGGGATGAAAAACTCTTCTTAGTTGTGGAAAAACTGTCAGGAATCCAGTTTGTTTGGTCTGTTTTTGTGTTTCCTTTCCCTGCAGCTCGTTGTGTTATTACCTGTGGAGTGCTCTTAAGCTGCTGACTGCCACTACCTTGACGCCAGAGTGTTTGCCAGCTTGGGGTACTCTAGCCATGTTTAGTTTAGCAGAGTCTAACCTGAGTCTTTGTTTTGCCAGTTTTGGGTACTCTAGCCATGTTTAGTTTAGCAGAGTCTAACCTGAGTCTTTGTTTTGCCAGTTTTGGGTACTCTAGCCAAGCTGAGTTTGCTGAGTCAAACTGAGTTTCTTGTTTACCAGAGTTTTAATCTTGCCGTTTTGTCTATGCCTTTCGGCAGGAAGTCATCCTGCGAACTGGATGTTTCGGACCTTCTCTCCCCTGGAAGGATCTTCTGGGAACCAAACTGAGCTAAGGATTCAAGTTTATAGTTTGGATCAACCTTTTCCCCCAAGGATTGTCTGGGGGTTCTCTCTGAGCAGGGGATTCATCTCCGCAATAACCCATTCAAGGACCGCAGGAAATCTAAGTGGCAGTCAGCTTCTCCGTTCACCAAGGAACAACCGCAGTCTGGGTAAACCCTGTCCTCCCACCATCAAACAAGACAATCACTGGAACATCCCACACAGACTGGATTCAATAAAGACACCTTTTTTTCTGGAAACGTGAATCTGCAACCTATACCTCCTCTTCAAGTCAAAGAATCTAATTTCCCACAGAGCCTGAACTAACCGCAGTGTCTTCCCCTCACTTTCCAGTTCTGGTTTGACAGTGTTCAGAGCAACACTGGACTCATCTCATAATACTAAATAAACCTGTTAAACTTTTCCCTGGTCTCTCTGTTTGGTCTTCTGCATTTTGGGTCAGACCTTTTAGTAAAATCACGACAAAAACCTGAAGATCTAAGTTTTAAATCGATGGATAATAATTTAAGTTAGTTTCAGAAAGCCAAACTAGTTGTAATGAATATTATTTGATGAGTTATCAGTGCTTATACTTTCAAGTTTCTGTGATTTCAACAGCCGTTTTGCTAGGGTTCATGATTTTGTTGTGAAATGAGGGAAAACCTACTGGAGGAGTTTAAGGTTGAATGTTTTTTTATTGTTCCATTTAAACAATAAAAACTGCTGCTTTTGTCAAGGCTCAGAACTGTGGAAACCGAATTTGAAGCAGACAGATAGAGCTGTTTCACAAAAACGTTTATTAATTTAAGTCGGATTAAAGACTGGAATTTCTGTAGAGGGAAAACTCAGGTTAGTGACCACGTAAATTTGGCGGAGGATGATTAGTAGCGTGTGAGTCACTAACCTGGTTTTAAAGTTCAATCTGTGCCCAGAAGAAGGAGTGTAATCCAGCTGGATGGCTACCATCAGCATCCCGCCCAGAGAGTTCCAGGAGCCGAAGCCTAGAAGGCTGCTGAACTAGCAGACGAGCAGATCCAAGCGGACGAAGGAAGGCAGGAGTTTCCAGAAGGCGAAGACAAAGCCGGTTTTGAAGAGGTAAACAAGAGTCCAGGCCAGAAGATCAGAGATCTGAAAAGGTATCAAAGTGAAATTCAAGTCAAAGTCAGGAGACAGATCCAGGTTCAGTCCCCTGTCAGAAACCAGCAAAGGTCCAATGACAGGTCAGGCAGACAAATCCGGAAGGAGCAAGCAGGCTCAAAGGTCTGTAGGCACAACTGGCCAGGATCAGGCAATGAGAACAACATACAATGTATGCTAGAGATCTCTCAACGAAGGCTCAAATAATCTGGCACTGATGACTTGGAGCAAGCAGCTTAAATAGAGGCAGGAGCAGGTGGATAAGATGGACAATAATGAGAAACAGGGGGAAGCTAGGCAGGTGAATACAACGAACCATTACGCCAGTCGTCAGTGCCAAGCTTAAAGGGATTTTGCCAATAAAAATAACATTTCATTTCTTGTAAAATTACAACACAGCTTCTTGTTTAAAATAAAAAATGCGTAAAAATGTAGATGACAATTTTATCTACAGAAGGACAACCAGCTCTAAATTCTTAAGTAGATTGAGATTTTTACTTTATTCCTTACCTTTTCTAATTCATCATGGATCGCAATTAATATTCTATATTCCATGGTAAAATAAAGTCTCTGTAAAGTGCCTTAATATAACATGTGTGGTTTATTGATCCTTTATAAATGAACTGAACTGGATAACAGAATTCAAAGCTTAGCAGACTTAAAACCAAAACTAATATGCCTTAGTTATTTTTACACTCAAAATTTTATGCAAGTCTGTTGCCTTGAATTTCAGAGTTTTTACTTTTTTTATTTTAAGTGTGGTTGCATTATGTTCTCAGTAATTGAAACTCACAGTTGTTGCAACGTATTACTTGGCCAAGATTTGGGATAAAACCGGAACAAGCTGACAGTCCATCTCAGGGCAACCTAGACATGCATAGAAGAAACAAACATGCACATAGACGCACAATAGGGACACTTAGAAAGAGATTGATTTTACACTAATGTTTTTTGTTTCATTTTTTTTTTTTTTACTTTGAGGTTATCTGAGTAGCTAGAGATGCATTCACAAAGAGAAGATGCAAAACTATAGACACCAGACCAACCATCAAGATTAAGACCTTCTTGCAAGACAGAGCATCTGCTCTCAATCTGCAGGTTTACTAGTGGTTCCTAGAATTTCTAAAAGTAGAATGGGAGGCAGATCTTTTAGTTATCAGGCTCCTCTCCTGTGGAACCAACTACCAGTTTTAGTCCGTGAGGCAGACACCCTGTCTACTTTTAAGGCTAGGCTTAAAACTTTCCTTTTTGATAAAGCTTATAGTTAGAGTGGTTCAGGTTATCCTGAGCTATCTCTATAGTTATGCTGCTATAGGCTTAGACTGCTGGAGGACATAGGGACCCCTTTTTCATAATTCTTCTTCATTCTATCTCTATTCTCCCACTCTGCAGAATCTGTTAGTTCAATCTCTAACGTTCTGCTCTCTCTGCTTTTTCTCATAGTAGCTTCATCTGGCCTGTTCCTGTTTG